CATAATTACCTGTTGAAAAATCGACGGGTTCCCGCAGTGTCGATAGAGGGCCATGCAGAATAAACCAGTCGGGGTGATTTCACAGTTACAGAGGATTTCGCGCCAACACCTCCATTTCGCGATGTTTTGTATTTTATTTGAACTACAAAAACAAATTAATCGCCCCGACTGCGCCAGTCTACTAATAACAGTATATAGATATTTTAAAATTGGCCTGTGTATCTTCAAAATGACTCCTAATGATAAGTTTATTCAAATAAATGCGTTAATACAAACTACGAGTAACATTACATTCTTTCACAACAGACAATGTTACATGTAAAAATTTGGTACTAATGTTTAACACATACAGCAATGTGTTAGTGACATTACGTTCTTTCAAGACAGACAATGTTACAAGTATGTTTGTGTTGATAACATTGATTTTCCCACAATCCAATGCACTCTTCAAATGGAAATCACAAGTATGGGGGTTGGACCTGAACGCGACTTGCATTGAATACCACCGGTGACACCTTCCAATCATCTAATTAAAACTTGGAAATGTCTCAGTTCGTACTCGTTGAACTGCGCAATTGTCAAAGTCACCATCTTTGTTTATATGAGACCCATATATCTTGTGCGTGCGTGGCGAGACGACTACCGCGTTTTAATATTAATGTTATCACATACAGTAATGTTTTACATCAAATATGATGGACATGGTATTCAAATTATATTTCCCATTTTGAATTGATGCAATATATATTCAAATTTGAAAATGATTGGATAAAGACAGCTTGAGTTATTGTGACCAAAATATTAAAGTTGACGTCAGAGGCGACGACAAACCTTTCCTGTCAACTACTGATTGGGCAAGGTAAAATACAAATTTGCAAACATAATTTATGGCTGGATAATTTGGTTGTACTATTGGAGTAGACTTCCTTAAATTTATATTCAAGTTAATAGATTACATATTAGATTTCTACAACTCCACACACACACAAAACCTTTATCATAACCATCGCCACATTAGAGAAACACTCTCAAATACTAAATCAACATACATTGTTGTGAGAAAAAATATTTTATACTTTATTTCAACATAAATACATGTGAAGGCAGTGACAGATGTGTTTTTTTTCATGGTGCTGTTCCACAGAGTGGTGGCACCCCTCCCAATGTTCACTGATTTTAGTTGCATCATGCTCATATACTCGAGGGCGCTCAACTTCCAACAATTGTTCATCAAATTTTTAAAACACTGATTTTGGATTAGTTTGCCCAAAATTAATGAATTTAATGGAGAAAACAAGTCGCATGAACATGAACTTTCTGCTACAGTATTTAGATCATTTGAATCAAAACCCTATTTTTCAATTTATTTTCCCCAAGCCAGCACAAGCTGAACTGGGCAACTCCTGCAAAATTTTATCTATATTTTTAAAAATCCTTGTCCTATGTTCATAGGTCTAAAAGTAACAAAGACATTTTTTCTTTCTTTTTCTTCACCAGAAACAAGTTATATTTTACTTAGAAACAACCCTACATCTCTTCATTAGTTCATTACATTCTATCTTGCAACTCAGCCTATTTAGTTTGTTGAATCTCAAAATCGTTTGAGACTTTGGACTTTTTTTTTTACTCCCTCCATCAGACAAAAACAGCAAACTTTGGAAATGTAATTCATACCATATTTTGACTGAAAATACACAATGTAAAGAAATGCAAACATATCACACAGATGACTGACTATTCAGGTAATAGTACATGCCAATTTAAGATATTGATAAGTAACAACTCCTCATTTAATCACAGAGACTTGCAAATATATCGGTAAAATTATTTTCATTTTACACTTTTGCCAAACCATTGTGTCGAGTATTTACCCTGTTTCCGGAGTTCAGAAAAGAGCTTACATGGCACGTTATAAACCACGACTCAGCTGATTTTGGACAAACTGAACAGATGCACTATCATTATACAGTATATTGGACAAATTGGAGGTGAGGGGGTGCAGAACAGGATAGCAAATTCAATCAAAGACAGTCTTGTATTGTAATCCCACAAGGCAATGCATTGAGCATGCTCAGTGGGTGCATGCAAAGCATGATGGGAACACTACATAAAATGAAGGCACTTTCAAAAAACCTTTGCATATTGTTCATTATTGATATATATCTCTTTGATACAATCTGTTTAAATAATTATCACATTTTTTTTAAAATAAAATATCCAGACAACTCAGCATTCTGCAAAGAAATGAAATTAAATTTTGATAAATACAAGTTTTCAAAAATTTACAACAATCGGCAGTGATAATGCAGCTATTGGAACAATAGCTCTCAAGATTCAAGACATCACTTGATAATTTATTGTCCATGCTGATGACCAGTCAAGACAAGCTATTTACGCATCGATGTGGTCAGATTTCAATGTGGGCAACATCAGGCAACTATTCTCATATAAATCATTATTTTCCATTTTTTTTTTTCAATTATAACCTGGCTGGTGGACCTAGTCAACATAAAAAGTATAAAAAATACTAAGTCTCGCTTAGTAATTTACAGATTGATAGTGAACAGTACTTCTCGGTGATCACATTACTGGGGATAAAATTCATTTCAGAATCCTGATTATTATTTTTGAATTTGCACAATCGCAGGTTTCAGTTTCTTCATTTTGACCCTTTCACTAGCATTTCACTCAAAAAATTAGATTCACAAATTTTCGATTTTTCTTCAACTCAATTATTTTGGCAAAAAAATTGATTAAATTTGAAAGAAGGGAACATATTAATGAAATATCACAGAATGACAATGTAAAGGTAAAATGTTGCCTTTCTCAATCTGTAAAGAAAGTGGAGAAACATTTTCCTAAAATTGTATCCATCAACAAGATCCAAAACGGTGATTCATTGCTTTGACTAGAAATATGAAAGAAAAGAGAAAAAACAACAGGACAATAAGTATACACAGACTTATGTAAATGACAGGAATATTTTTATAGAATAATAGTTCATTTCTAGTACTATTGGCAAAAGAAACTCTAACTAAGTAATCTAAAATAATTCATGTATTTGCGAAAGATATGTACATTTTTTTTCTCAAAATGTTTTCATAAAAACGTAGGACAAAATGTAGGAAAAGCTGACACTAAATGTAAATCTTCTAATTTCTTTGCTTGAACGTTTCCATCAACGCCAGTAAGTTTGTTGCAGTTGCAACTTCAAAAATGTAATATATATATATTTATTATGAATTTATTCATTTTGCTTTGAAACAATAATTTGAGTTAAATATTAAAAAAACAAATACTGCTATCCCACCAAGTATACCAGCAATGACATTTATAAAATATTTTCTTTAAAATAAGTTTACTTTAAAAATAAACTGCAAAGGACACTTTAGGAAACTAGTTGTATCCGGATACCAAACACTAAATTAGGTACAGGTAACCATGACAACAGGGCATTTATACAAGAGGAGGTAACACACTTGACTTCAATCAGGAACAAACCATTGATGATAAGAGGTGTATCACCAATCCATTTGATGCAATTCATAGAGGGACAGGTAAAAGTATTTTGTTTGGGAGGGACGGAATAATGATGATGGCAATGTAGTCCTAGCTAAAGCTGTGTCGCTTGTACATCATCCATTAGCCAGAGACCAAGTCCACTATTTTTTAACATAATAGCTTCTCGTAAATCATCCTGCTCGCTATCATCTAATACCGTCACTCCCTGCGCAGTCAGCGTGTGACCGCTCTGGTAAGTTCCTGGGGCGGGAATGTTCGTTTTCGCACGATGGTTGCTTTTGCTGCCATTACTCATTGTTGATGCTTGGCTGCTCTGGTCAGACAGTTCTTGTTCCCTCTCCTGGAATGAGCGTATTACTCCTCGTGATGGTTTGTGGTTCACATGGTTACTGACCTGTCGCAAAGCCACATGGTTATTCCGCACACTACCGTTTGGTGTAATTACCTACAGAAAAAAAAACCCACAAAGATTAAGACATTCAGTGACTTTTTATCACCATGGTAACTCAAACTGGTTACTTGTTGATTGACCCATTTGAACATGGGAGACTGGAATGTACTGTTTAGTAACCAATTTCTGTTTTTAGACTGAATGCAGTGTATTTTAAACTGCCCAGATTTTTTTTTTATCAATCTCTCAACTAGATACCATCCCCACTTTTCAAATGAGGCATTCCTTATAGAGACATCAATAACAGTTGCGCAAGTGCAAAAGTATTAGCAAATTAAGAACTTAAAGAGCGATGGTTGACATGCCACATCAAAGTGAAGTTTGTGTTGATAAACAGTTTTTTTTTTATTTTATTTTTTTTACAATGCAGTACACTTTCCCAGCATCAAGCATGAAGGACTTTTGATTTGCTTGCGATATACACAAAATACAGATTCTTTTGCGAGCATCTATATATTCCAATCGTGCCAGGAATTACCTGTTAATAGGGGACGCATATTTCACACAAGTGCAGCAAAATGACCACCGCTCTTCAAAAATGTTTAATCTAATTTATTTCTCTAAGCCAGTAACAACAATGAGACAATGACAAAATAAAAAAATTGAAGCTGTGATAGAAAGGAAGGCATGGATAAGGAAGAAAGGAAGTTGAAAAGGTGTATATAAAAAATAAATTAATAAAAAAAAAAGTATATTTTAATTCTCCACTACAGGCCTTTATTTTGATATTTTGACTTTATAGTCATTTTGATTATCTTGATTTTATGACATCATGTCAAACAGTGACATTCACTTAAAAGTATGTGCTGGTGGTACACAAAAATTTATGACATTTTTTGAGGTACACAAAAGACTGATGACATCATATTTTTTTCGCACATTTAGAAGAAGCTGTGCAGATACCCTTTTTGCGCATATTCTTGATAGTGTTCATTTTATCTGCGCTATTGCAGACAGCGTCCTTTTGAAAGGGGTCAAAATGGACTCTCTTTGAAGAGGGAGATAAAGAAGATTTCCGTCTGAGACTGCTTATTGGCGGAGCATGTCTCTGTAAGCTACTAACCACAGTGGGAATTTCACCATTACCCGTCATCTGCGGAAACACAAAATAAAAGATGACAGAACAGAAAAAAAATCTAGTAAGAATGAAATGAATGAGATTTTGGAAGACAGAGCTGCATGACATAGAAGCAAAAATTGAAGAAATGAAAGAAAAAAAAAACAATCTCAGATATGAATAAATTATCTTCCAACACATTGTCTGCAATGCTCCACAGACATACAAAAATGAGTGGGACAAAAGGAGGCAGTGTTTTCACATATCATTACTGAATTCACATAATGCTCACAAATTGATGATGTCATGTTAATTTCTAGACAAAATTGATGACATCACATGGACTCGATATCGGTAATATAGAAAATTTCTTGATCCTGCAATATGGGAAATGCAGCAGAAACAAAAGATGTCATCACATCTATGCCTACAATGATGAGATTTACTGTCATGTGCACAGGAAGAGATGACATCACACCAACCCCTCAAAATGATGACACATACTTTTTTAGGTACACAGGGACAGATGACATCAACCAAGCAATCCCTCAAAATGACATGCACTTACTTGTTTAAGTGCACATGAACAGATGACATCATCAAACCAACCCCTTGAAATGATGATACCCTTCCGGCAGACTAAAAGTTGTACTATATTGAGTTAAGCTATATTTCGCTCAAATATTAAATTATAAAAAGTATTGTTTAATTCTTCTACCTTGACATCATCTTGGCCAGGATGACTGTTTTTAACTTTGTCATCAGACGACAATTCCACCTCCTCATCAATTGGAGGTTTTTTAATATCATCATCATCGCTGTCCTCGTCGAACATCACATTAATTTCGCCATTATTTTGTGCTGTATTGTGGTTGCTATGCAGTCTATCTAGACTACCATTATTACTTGGTTCTGTGTGCTCGCTTATTGGTTCCAATGACATGTTGTCATGTTTTCGACTGAGAATAAAAAGATTGTACCAGACTGGTAAATTTTTGGAAATTGGTGTACAAGCTCATATAACTGTTCCAATGACTTTGATTGCTTTAAAATTGGGATAAGATCAAAATATAAGTTTCAGATACACAATGCAAGGAATATCAAATCAATCACCTAAAATATATTTGGTGTTCACTATACCCATTAAAGCTTGGAATTCTATTTCACATTCCACCCACTATACCCATTAATGCCTGAATTCTATTTTACATTCCACCCACTATATACCCATTAATGCCTGAACTCTATTTTACATTCCACTCACTATACCCATTAATGCCTGAATTCTATTTCACATTCCACCCACTATACCCATTAATGCCTGAATTCTATTTTACATTCCACCCACTATATACCCATTAATGCCTGAACTCTATTTTACATTCCACTCACTATAACCATTAATGCCTGAATTCCATTTCACTCACTATATACCCATTATTGCCTGAATTCTATTTTACATTCCACCCACTATACCCATTAATGCCTGAATTCTATTTTACATTCCACCCACTATACCCATTAATGCCTGAATTCCATTTCACTCACTATATACCCATTATTGCCTGAATTCTATTTTACATTCCACCCACTATACCCATTAATGCCTGAATTCTATTTTACATTCCACCCACTATATACCCATTAATGCCTGAATTCTATTTTACATTCCACCCACTATACCCATTAATGCCTGAATTCCATTTCACTCACTATATACCCATTATTGCCTGAATTCTATTTTACATTCCACCCACTATACCCATTAATGCCTGAATTCTATTTTACATTCCACTCACTTATACCCATTAATGCCTGAATTCCATTTCACTCACTATATACCCATTATTGCCTGAATTCTATTTTACATTCCACCCACTATACCCATTAATGCCTGAATTCTATTTTACATTCCACCCACTATATACCCATTAATGCCTGAATTCTATTTTACATTCCACCCACTATACCCATTAATGCCTGAATTCCATTTCACTCACTATATACCCATTTTTGCCTGAATTCTATTTTACATTCCACCCACTATACCCATTAATGCCTGAATGGCATAAACACTAGAAGCACTATGATTATAGGAAATTTTTCATGAGTAACATTTACTATTCTGAGTATTTTATTTTCAGCAAGTAAAAACAAATTTCTCTCATTTTTGCAAATTTTGGCTGTAACATAACCACTGCCCAGATAATTTGTTCAGCTTAAAATAAAAATGGTGATTGAGGTGCTTACTTTGCAACAGGAGCAACAACGCCATCTTCAGGATCAACCTCTAATACAAATTCTTCCCCTTGTCCAATCTCTGATGTGTCAGCAAAAAAATCCATTGTGAATTCCTGTTAAGTTATAAAACATAGTTAAATATTGTAAGCCTTGCCTATAGAGAAGTTATAATGGTTGATTGGTAAAAAGAATCAGAATCAAATTGGCTATAAACGCTGTAGTGGTGCATAAAACAGGGTCGTCACCTACGCACATGCGGAATTGAATTGAACATATGTATGTACAAGTTGAAATATGAGCTAACTATTGAATGGAGCATGGAGTGAATAACTTAATGGTCAAACTCATTTTGTTACTATTCATGGAACAGGTTAGCATTCAGTTGTAAAGTGGTGTTTGGTTAGTTTTTTCACTGGAATCGTTTGCCCAAGATAATGTTCGTTTCTCTTTTCACTCAAGCGTGTTTTCAGTACATGAGTGCACAGCACTGTAGTAGTATGAATAGTTATTTCTGTTATTTATAAAACTACAGTGTGATTAGTACATGTATTTCTATTATACGAATCAACGTGGAGTAAATGGTCTCCTCAACAACACAAGAGACTGTAGAAAGTGCTTCAGTGAATTCAATATTCTTTAATGTTTACTGAATAACTACATGTACCATTTACGACCATTTCAGCCTCTGATGCTCATGCTGCTTTATACATTGATTCAAAACTAATTGAGTTAATTAATAAATATGCAAATTAATGAATTAACATAATATGCAGTTTATTTCCAAAATACCATGAAACCTTCAACTGCACAAACAGTATGCATGTACAAGTTTTAAACCATTTGTTAGGACAAACATAGTTAATATTTATTCAAATTATCTTAATAATATGCCAGGATTTGTATTAAGATCTAATAGGTCAAAGCATTTGTGTAACAAATTGCATTCCAATCTACCAAGTGGTTTTAGAGATACTGGTGGAACAATATTTGACACATCCATCTATCAACAAACACAGATATCGCTATAACATTAGCCACCCTTAGTGTTCTGCATTGGTTTCCTATGTTCTAAAACCTAGATATAATTTAATCATCAAACATTTATATTTTTGTGTATAATAACCTACCTGTGCTTCGTAAGCTTTGAAGAAATTTGGCTCACCACTGAAAAAGATTAACAAAAACAGAAAGACATATTTTCGTAAAAATAATAATTTGACTGAACACCAGTAAGAAAATCATATCATATATATTCATTCAAAGAAATGTTTGATCAATGCCATCTTTGCATAATAATCATAACTGTATCATGAATGCTTAGAACAGTAGCGTAGTTATAATATCTGGAAAGTACTCAGCAACAAACCAAAATCTACATTGCGTGTCACTGAAACTTTATATTACCGTAAAATCTGTATTAGAAGCCACATCCCTAATAGAAGTCGCACCCATTTCTTTTGAACAACTGAGCAGCAAAAATTCATCATTTTTCATTTGTGTGGATGCTCTATTAGAAGTCATATCTATTCTGTTGCATTGTACCATTTTAATAGAAGAAGCAGTTTCTAATACAGATTTTACAGTAGAATCTAGGCGACATATGAAGTAATGAAATGTATTATGGATATATATAAAGGTACAGGAACAAGGTAAGCAGGTAATTTCCCCCTCAACCAATTAGACTATATGCTTGAATTGGCCAATCAGGGTTTTAGAATTTCCATGGTTATATGCCGTACTTTAGGTATAACATGGGTTATGAGATTACAGTACCAGCAACTCTGAATATACCCTAAATTTACTGCTAAATAAGTTCACATTTTCACATGTTGCAAATTAGTTAAATTATTGTCACTTCACATGAACCACTTGGCTCATGGCAATCTGCCAGGCAGAGTTCTATTTCTACAAATATATCTCTGCTACCATGCGATCTCATGCTAGTTGTTGATTGCTCAATGTGTCAAAGTGGTCTTATTTTCAAAGATGCCCACCAAAAAAAGTACGTGTTAAATTTAAACACAATGAACGTGCATGTGTGGTTTGTAGATTCTGGCTGTTTTCAAAGTGAGAAGCTCATTTCTTCATTTGCTTATATTTCTTTGCCCAGTGGTCAGCTTGATGAAACTGAGTAACACCTTTAGTAACTGAAATTATTTTCATTTGTAAATTGTGACTATTTCACCCTTTTTCAAGCGTGACCATGATTCAACTATTATATATTATGAATAATCTTTTGCACAAATTTTCATAAAATCTAAAAGAGCAATATAAAATTAAGAATTATTAATATTTTGAAGTAAACCATTGGTAAAATATTTGAACCCCAAGGAGGAAAAAAATAAATAACAAAACAATTAAGACTTACTTTGCATAAAGTTCGTCACTGAGGGATATGTGGATAACGGCAAACCAACCAGGAATGAAAAGGCAAGCAAGAGAAAGAAAATAATTTAAAAGCTGTTATTTATTTACTACAACACCAGGGATGGGTGTAAATAAGGTGAATAGTTTGCAATCATGTGGCACCCTCTATAGTTGAGATTACGCCCTCTATAGTCGAGATTACGCCCTCTATAGTCGAGATTACGCCCTCTATAGTTGAGATTCAGTGTTTCCTGAGGTGTACAATAATTTATGAAATGTTTTACTTACACTTGTACTCCTTGATCATCAAAATACACTGGGTTAGGGCTGCAAGGAATTTAAATATGTTGTTATTTAATATCGATTTAATAAACGTTTAATAATTTTACAACAAATAAAAACACCTGCTTTTCAAAACAAAACAATTAATTGCCCCTCAATAACACCTACCCTCCCCCACATATAAATGAAATCACTACAAGTTGGTACACTGCTGAAATAGCTGAGCCACACGGAGACAGACATCGAGTTTCTCATTCTAATACTAGATATGAATGTAAGTGGACACATAGAAATCACCAAAATGCAGAGATATTAAGCATGATGATTTTTTGCAAAGTGAAAAAAAAAGAAGGCAAACATGACAAGGACAGAGACTGAATACTGACCGATACTTCAAGTGCAATATGGTTAATAAAAGATAAGCTTTAATTAATTCACTCTGTTTGAAAGTTAATCTTGTGTATGCATGTGAATTACTGGATAATTATTAACAGTTTAAAGTGTGTTAACCTTTTCACCACCAGAATTTTGTCCAAATTATTTTGCACTTTTGTCTTATATTCTTCAATATTGTTGGAAATGAATCCTAATTTTGGAGCCAACAGACAAAATTTGAGTCAATTTTCAGTTTTTACTCAAAATATTTCGCTATTTTTGTCCCAATCTTCTGAAGGAAAGTGCAAACTATAAACAGGACTATTTTGTGAATTTGTGATGAAAAGAGGTTGGTGAAAAAGTTAATAGCTTACCAAACAACAGCAGATTAAAGGCAAAATTACACTTTAATTGTAGTCAGCCAATTGTAGTCAGTCAACAGTTTTGAAAAGTCAGCCTACAGAGCTCAGAAAATGAACACAAAAGCTATAGTTGCCCCTACATGACTGATTGGCAGTTGCTCTGTCAACCAATTACAGTCAGTCATGTAGTTTTGCCACCATAGTCTCAGAACCATCACTGATACGACTAGTTTTTGCACCAAATTAGTTCAAATTTAATCTGACCATGATGATACACAAGATCAAATTCCTATCAGGATATCAGAAGAAATGAATTATAAATCCACCACCTTTACAGACTCTACATTTTGGAACTAAATTCAAAGAACTAAAAAAAAGTTACTGTTTATGAAAAATGAAAATGATCTTTCAACCTTGCAGAGCCAAAACATACTTGGGAAATATCTTGACTGCCACAATGTTAGAAATGGTTTTATAGAACTCAAAGGCAATTGGCCTTAAGTTATACATGACCCCTAAAGGTCACACATCCTGGTACTTTCTGGGGACATTATTACCATATAAAAGATTCAAATATTATATGCAACTCTCAGCCATGTTCAGTCTTCACTGACAACTGCTTGCATTGAGGAGGGGTTCTCATTTATGGTGAATTTGTGCCCCCAGGAAGTGTAACCTTGTGGAGATCGCTCATGGGCCTATCATAAAATCTGTATTAGAAGCCGCACCAATTCTTTTGAAAAATAGATAATTTGTCTCATATATGTAGATACCCTAATAGAGGTGGCATCCTCCTCTGTTGTACTGTTACATTTTAATATAGCCATGGCTTCTTCTAATACAGATTGTACATTGTTAGAAAAATATTTTCTTATTCAAGAACAAAGTTCGCAAAAATTTCAATTCTGTGAAAAGTATATTCCAAATGTCATTTTTCAATTGTCGCCAAGAGTTTAAATGATTGATATGTATGAAAAATTTGTCATTGGGCATACAAAAATGGTGAAAATATTCAACTATTCAGATATTTATCATTTTGACTTTTGTTTTTTATTCCAACATGATCATTTGAGACAAGAAGAAGATGTGTTGGCCAGCAAGCATTGAAAGTTTCATTTTTCTGGAGACTAAAAACACTTACATTGGTTCAGGCATTCTAACATGGCTTCTGTATGTTAGTAAAAAGTAGATAAAGCGAGCAAGTCAAAAAACAGCAGAAAAAACAGTATCAGATAGTGAATTATAAAAAAAAAAAAAATTAACAAAGGGGGGATGTCATGCTAATGTATGTTGTTGTCAAGCAATGAGTGAAAAAATATAAGGAATGGTGCTTTAATAATAGAAACAAAGTAGCAATCTTTATGTAGCTGTAAATAAAAAATATAACTGAAAAAAAACTGCTTCTTCATCTTCTTTCTTTTTTTTTTATTTCTATTAATATGTAAATACATGAACCTAAAAGTCAGGTGACTGAAAAATAATCACTCCTCAATTTTAAAAAAAACTGCACTATTTTGTTTTGTTTTTATATGAATTTTTTTTTGAAAAAAAAGTAAAAAGCATGTCTAAAGTTCTACAGACATCACACAGGACGGTACAGATTTTGTGTAAGCAAATAAATCATTTTACATGTGTATGTTATGGAACATGGAGCACATAACAAACACAATGCAGGATCAATAACTGTTAAATTGATGCTCCTGAATGGCAAATTTATGAGATATTCTATCAATGATTCCTAGTATTTAGACCAAATGAAAAAAAACAAAAACAGAATACCAACATAAGTGCGTGATTAACACTATACAATTAAACTGCCATTTTAAGTTCTAATATAAGCTTTGGTAAATAACAAAATTGGCCAAATTAATTCATAGCAATCTACTACTAAATATTTCCCAAATATTGTAATTGACATTTTCAGACTTACATTTCACTTGTATGGTTGCGATTGTTGGCAGTGACGTCAGTGTACATCGGCAAATACAGCCGTGCATTTCTTTCTCGCTCCGCTTCTCTCCTAAAAAATGATTATTTAATGTTACAGTTAGAAAATAATTAAATAGCAAATATCAATAACTAGCTGTACACATAAACACCTTTTATTTATACCTTTTGATTCAGACATTTAAAATACCACAGTTGATGCATCACATAGAGTTGAGTTAGCTATCAGTCCCATTCAACATAAACAGTGCATGTGAAATATAATTTGATTCTGATCAACAAAATGAATACTTTATGTAATTACTATTACTATTACTAGGAATTCCAACCAATTACCATTATCTATTCACTATTGTTGTCATGACAACACGCACTAGAGCACATTTAGATAAAAAATGTCTTCACCTTCACCCTTCATTTTTCTACTAAACTCCACCATTGAATATTTTAGACATTTTTATGTAGTTTTCAATAATTTCATTGGTAATTTTCGACCTAATTATACATTGGCTATACATTTTGATGCAAAAATGGAAAGATAGTGTGGTTATATAATGAACGGTAAGAAAGTTGACTTCGGCATTCAAAAAGATAAGATAAGAAATCAATAAAAAAACATCTATGGATTAAGAGTTGTTAAAAAAGATTTTGTCATTCAACTCTAATTCTCCACATTACTTTTAATCTTTTTCAGAACATGTTTTTTCATTATGAATCACTTCCTTGAAAATGTCATTATCAATTTTAGTTTCTTAATTCTCACAAAAAAAAAAGAAATTTGCATTTCATATAATTAGTGCAAATCAAAAAAGAAATTTCAAAAATATTAACCGAAAGAGTTTGGCGAGAAAATGTCTGCCTTAAGCAATATATTAGCAATAAACATATCCATGCACCGAAAAAGTAATAAATTATACATATAAGAGAGCTTAACCAAAAGGAACCAAAGCACCACCCTTATAGAGCCTATGACATCTAAATCACCATGGAAACCAACCCAGTAGCCTGATATTTCCCATCTGTCATCAACATGTTGATATCAACCATGGAGGAAAAATACACATACTGTTTCCAAGAACACCAAATGACGATTATCGCGATGAAACTCAGAACGAACAGGATGCAAGCCAGTGAGATCAACGCCGCGTCCGTGTGCGCTAGCGAATAATATCGTGTGATTATAGCCGTTTCTGGAGGCCGCACTGTAACAACTTTTCCGGGCAGGAAACTGCTGAACAACTCATTCAAAAGGGCTTCATTCTCTGCCAAAATCCTGCAATTAAAATCCCATTACTATTTTAGTAAATTGATTGATGGATCAAATATCTGGTTGACAACTTACCACTGACATCAATAGATATCTCACGAGTTACCCCCCACAATATCAGATTTATTAAATGAGTGTAAATTTACTACACACTAAATTTTACTTAACTAAATCTGCTATTGTATAGTCACTCATGAGATATGTTTATCCCATATATTCATTTCACAGCTTCTAAGGACTAAAAACTAAAAACAGTGATCGTATAATCCATGCCAATAGACATATGTGAAACAAATTTCTGTGCTTGGAGAAGCTGATGTTGGGAGAATTTGAAATATGTGGCTTTATGGAAATTCTCAATAATTATTCAAGAAATATTATGAAAAATTACCAAAATTTAATTTGTTTTCAAGCACCACTCAGATTATTAATATATATCAGCATACAAAATATTATTTCACTCCTTTATAAAACTGACTTTCCATATATATATAGTAATTTTAAAATACAAAAGGTAGCTCAACCAGTTCTCAAACTTCTTAAATGGATAAAATAAAAACCAACGTTTCGACAATGCTAGGATCGTCTTTTTCAGGGTAATAGCTGTACATCCAAATGCAAACTGTGATATATATACTTCAAACAAAATGGGTATATGCTATAGCCAAATTGTGAAAATAATTTGCATAGATTATAAAAAGCATGTACCTCATAATTTCTTCTCTGCTCATTGGTTTCCCATTCTCATCAATTGCATAGAATAAAATATCCGTCTGTGAGGGGTTTGTCTTCTCATAATCATCACCATATTGTCGTGATCCAACCTTCTCTAAAACCACTGTGGTGTTAAGTATTTCTTCCAATACTTCTAAAACACGATCTATATTATCATTGATAACTGTAGGTGGGACATCAGCGACTAGCACCACTTTATTGTCCTTATTTATGACAGAAATCTATAAATAAATAATAAAATTTAATCCTATTATATGCATGAATTAAATTAGCAAATTAAATTTCCCCAAGGGTGCATCGCATATCAAGGCATATATTACATCATACAACCGACTTCAGATTCAGACTTCATATTTTGTTTTGATTTCTTTAAAGTGGGAGTGTCGTCACCTGCGCACGCGCAGGAACTGAGTCCCAATCGACGATAACAACATATGCTAAAAACGCAAAGGCTCATGGGTAGACACTTGTTTGTATACAATGACACGCTATGGCCACCTATTGCATGCGTAGGTGACGACTCCCCCGCTTTAAAACGTTTCAAATTCGTGAGAGACAAATGTGAAAAACATGAAATTTTACAACAGTGAAAAATTTCTCTTTGGTCCTACGTACAACACATAGTGTCAGCACCGTTCATTGAATTGCAAAAATTCCTAGCAGACAAAATTAAGTGATTACAGTATAAACTTTACAAAGCTTTTTATAAAGCTAACAAATTAGGTTTTGATTCTCATCGCATACGTCAGTTTGAAACCTACAATGTATGCCTCACTCATTTCTTTTCAATTTTTTGCATCGATAGCGTGTGCCACAGTAGAAAGAAGAAATGTTCTGTTTTCTGTTTCCGAGGAGGTTAGGTTTCTTCAAATCAATTTATCTTTAATGTGTTAAAAAAGGATTATGTAATAAAAGGTAAAATTATATCTTGTTGTGGTATTGAATACAAAAAAAAAATTTTAAAACCTCATCACTACATCAATTATCTCTCAGAAAAGAAGCACAACTTCTTTTTGGGGATATGATCTATTTATTAGATACACTACTTCAAGTTCATTATACAAGTAATTTACATCAATATCCTGCAATACATTACAAATATCAAAAATCACATAAAAAGCAACTCACTGATACTTCCGCTTGTGCCATGAATCTTTGCTCTCCGAAAGGATTGTCTTCAGCAACTACAGTAAATTCATATTTACTCCCGGCTTTTTCTGTGATGGCTACAGTGGTCTCTATCAACCCTGTAGTCCGGTCAATCTGAAAGTAACTCGCTTGAAGTACCTCGTCATTGCTGATTCCATCACGCTTAATGGAATAGTTGGCCTCCCCACTAGGGCCTTCATCAGCATCCAGCACCTTTAACATATTAAAATATGGAGATTCTGATAAAAAATGCATCTCTGGGATTTCTGTAAGCCAGGTTTTATTTCAACTCTTTTTATTCCAAACTACAGACCATCTGCAGGTTTGTTTTTAGCATAACGTAAATTTTCTAATGTACATGTAGGTGTCCTTGGATTGAAATACCAGAAAAGATTGAAATATTTGAAAAATTACACCCAAATTACAATACTTACGGTATATTATTTCTGATTGTGTCAAAAATTGATGAGGTTTTTTAAATTTGTTCTTCCCCTCTTGATTGTACCTAACATTCATACTATTGTATATCTGGCAGCGAAAACTAACGAATTCATCAACCCATGAAACTGTACGAACGTGTTCGAAAGTGTTACGGTTGCACTCAAATGTTGTCCTTATTTGGAAAATGTGCACTTTGGGCTGTTATATCTCACTAAATTAAGAATAAATTATGTTTAATGATACGGTTATACCACCGTACTGCTTTTATACATATACACTCAGGCAATACAGGATAGCATTGACTTAATTATGCTACACATTGATTGACGATAAGATCACCATTCATTCTTTGCGGTATTCTCATAATGACATCATAATATATGATTTAGTTGCTATGGATACTCACCCATACTTTTAGTACGTCCGTGAAAGGACTGGCATCTTCATTGACCCCACCGATGTATTTACTTTGCGTAAACATAGGTGGATTATCATTGATATCTTCTAATTCTATAATCACTTCTGCAATATTAGATTCTGTAAATATAGCAATACAGTGGTGTAAATATAAAGATTATAGCATAAATATTAATAATAATTTATTATTGTTTGGTCAAGATGTATATAAACAAAAGTAAAATGCGTATCGTCGATAGAGGGCATGATTTTGAGTAAAAGTACAGACAGACTTTAAATGTGATATCTAATGGTGAGATTTATGCATGAGATGGACGAACTTTCATTTGAGTGATATTTAATTTGTTGTTGAATCACCGTCCCTCAGGTGTTGAGGGACGGTGGTTATGTGAAAGAATACAAACTTGTAAAAATGTAAGGTACCTGTGCGTTATACTTTTAATCAAAGTACCGGTACGAACTCTTGAACTAGCGTATAACTGTTTGTTATATTTTTTTTTACAATGGGAATGTCCTGTTAATATTTTGAAGATTTTGTGACTAAAATATTGTGTTTTATACCGTTCATGTGTGGTTGGTTGTATTTTGTTGAATTCTTGTGTGGTATTTATGAAATAGATATGTAATAACAGTAGCACAAGAAGCAGATCACACTGACAGCACAAGCTGATAAGTCCCTGCATCACCCAATGCAAGTTCAATGCCAATGCAACTCCCAATAAGATACAAGTTTTTAATTCATGTTAATTTGTTTTAAATACGAGTATTTTATTCTTAATTATCAAAACATTTGAATATTACATATTTCTAAAATTAACACGTACATCTTAAGGATATTCACAAATCACTTAGACAAAGATTCTACCTTGATACTGACATTCTGAGAAAACAAGCTCCCTACCTGATCTTTTTTTTCTCTTCCCAGACTCTGCGTCCATATCATCTTGAAGTGAAGCTTCTATTATCAATATATAAGATGCTGTTACTTCTCTGTCTAGAACCTCTGTGGTGTAAATAAAACCTGTGCTGTCTTGACTTTCAATTCGGAATGATTCTGTCATACATAGGAACAATTAAAAAAAACAAAAGTTAACACTGCTATGTGGTACAAAGGGGCTGCTGACAAGACAAAACTAAAATCAAATATTTTTTTTCTTTTTCTAAAAATTCATTAAACAGAATTATTCCATAATTTTGGAAATATGATTTCAAATTACTATTATAATAATTTTACCATTTCCGCTACCGGATACAATGTGGTAGTCAATCTGGTCACCAGACGGTGCAGTTGCGTGAATTTCCATGACTGGAGTGCCAGCAGGCTGCTCTTCTTTCAAATCACTCACTCTGAAACAAAAATATGAATAAATATCAGTTTTTTTTTCTAAACCGGGGAACAGGGGCGCAGCGCCCTGATACTCTCGGCTGGTGCCCTCTTACCCCGGGGGGCTACTTGCATAGAAGTGCAATACGAGTATGTGCCGCCCGACTGGGGTGTCATTTCACGTTATTTTGTTTAGAAGTGGGTAGCCATTTATCAATGGTTTGGTTTAGAAATGTGTAGCATTTATTTACTTTTTCACAGATCCTTATATTCAAAGCCAAATACTGGAAAAGGCTGAATAAAATGCATTGCCCTGATGCCCTCACTGGTTGCGAAAGTTGTGAGCTGGGTGTTGTTGTTTTTTCGCTGAAAACACTTGTGATTAGAAGTGGGTATATATAAATAGAAAAAAAATGATTTAGAAGTGAGTATGGTTTTCGAGAGGTTGACTTCACACCCTTACCCACTTAATGTGGAAGTAGACCCCCCGGGCCTCTTACCAAATTGCTGATTGAACTTTCGAGTCGTAAATATATTTCTTGAGCCGCACACTTTCGTACAACATGAAATTTTTCTCAAATATATTTTTCTCAGTGAAAACATTCTAGCAACACCAGCTGACAATGTGTCTGGACACCAAATACACTAAAATTACTTCAAAAAAATGTCAATGGCAAAAACCTTCCGATATGGCATTTCCAGGTCGATCCACCATGTGTGCTCTTGATCATTTTTCTAGAAAAATCCCTGAATATATATCGTAGAATTCTGTATAAAACCACTTAATTTTGTACAGGACAAATTTTCATGATTCACTATCATTCCCATGTGTTTGTTTGAGTCTGAAATTACCATAATTGGTCTATTCCGTAGCAAATTCATTGCTATTAATTATTTGTGATATGCAATGACGTTACAAATTTGATCTGTCAGTGGTGGCTGCTTACAATTACCACTACAAAATCATCGCAGAATAGCTAGACCAATTCTTGAAAATTTGCAGCAATGCGAGAGAATTTACAACCTCCAAATTGTCTTCATTTCAGACACCACATTTGCTTCATCTTACCTGTAAATGTTTTGTTCAAATACGGGCTTCTCTCGTTCTCGGTCAGTTATCTGAATAATTACTAAAGCTGTGTCATTTAGTGGCGGTACTCCCCCATCATACGCAACTACAGTTAACTGAAAAGAATAAATCAGGCATATTTTTCCTTCAGAGTAAAATTGCTAAGAACTGAAAAAATGAATTCAAAACTAATTTGTTCTTCAAAAAATGTTAAAATAAAACTGTAAGGGTGTAGCTTTACTGAGCTAATTGTAAAAACAAATTTCTGTTCAATTTTATAAATCATATCAACTTGGTACGGTAGTTATGTCATCTCGTGCTAAAAAAAAACCTGTTTACAGAAGGTTTATGTTGAAATACGATGAGGTTACAAAGAGAGAAAAATGCTCACATGTACTGTCAGTCAGTCACTTTATGGGAATAATATTTTTACTGATAATATATACTTACAATGTATTCATTGAGTGTTGTTTTTTTCAGGTTTGTCTTCGTAACAATTACACCCAGCTGCTCATCCAACATCGTGAAGAATTCATTGGGTGGTACAATGTAATATCTGATTGCACCATTTGCTGTATTCTGAAAAAGACAATTAGAAGGTTGTGATTAAAAATATATTTTGTAAATTTTATTTCAGATATTTCAATAGAATTTGACTGAGAATTATTTACGAACTCGTATAACAGTGAGAATTACAATACTATCACCAAGTATAGAAGAAATCACTGACGTCCATTCGATCAATACTTAAGGCACCAAAAGTATTCACAATGGAAATTCCCTATCATACAGAAGATTATTGGTGATAGGAAACTATAAGAAGGATATAACAATTAAAACCAACACATGTACACAAAGAAAAGCACAACACTTTTGAGAAACACAAGTCATTGTCAATGTCAAGTCCCCCTTTAGTTTTTAGTGACTGTCAACATTGGTGCCAAATAATTATTTACACTCATGTGACAGACATGATAAAAAGTGGAGCCAGTTTATTTGTGTGATTCCTTCCTTTATTCAGCCAATATCATAATGAAATTCTAGCAAGAAAATGACCACTAGTCATCTTAAATCAGATTCTGAAACAGATACAAGTGCAAATGTGTTTAATATGATCTGTTCAGCTATTAAAGTTAGCAATATGGTTCCAAAAACAGCAAATGCCCACTTTGAATCAAACCTATTAAATAATGATGTGCATCAAGGACCCATTAATGAATGAAATATGTCCATGCACAACTGAGATCAGTTCCAGAATTGCAGAAATGATTGATTTTGATTCAGCCATCTTGAATTGGACCATGAAACAAATGCCTGTGCGTAAACGTGATATGACGTGTGTGTGAAGTTTGAATTGGCTTAGGCCTGTCTGAGATACTGGTGCCGACGGGCAAATGGACAGATGTAAATTATGAGTTGTTTAGAAACGAATTTTAAAAGAAATATGAATGTAGTTGTCATGAACACATACTGAGTTATCTCCATCATTCGCCAGTATATCATCCGACGACAGTCGTTTCTAAATCGGCATTTTCCTGCACAGAACCTCGGTAGACATCTTGAGTGAACACAGGAGGGTTGTCATTTTCATCCTATAGAAAGTATAAAGGTGGATGAAAATAAGGGCTTGTAATGTTGGTTATATACAATGAAACTTATTGAAATCACGCAAAAAATCTCACACATTTCTGGAGATAAATTACATGGTATTAAAGGTGTATAAGGATAAGGGCATACAGTATTGGATTCATTTATGGACAATAAATCTGATCATATAAAAATGTGTGAGTAGCAGTAGATTAAAAATAATCAAATTCAAGCAAAACAATTTAACATACATTAATTTGCCTACCTCCACATGAATGAAAACTGTGGTATCTGCAGTTGCTATAGTTTCATCTATCTGATGAATATCTATGGCGGAAATTGTCAAAATATAATTCTCTTTTGTTTCATAATCTAGAGTGGTCAGAAGAGATAGTGACCCAGTCAGACTGTTGATGCCAAACAAACCGGCATCCCCGGTCGTTATGTTATAATTCAAAATGGCAGACTCATCTTCATCTGTTGCCTGGAAACAATGATAGTAAAATGGGATTATGGTGCTTCATTTGTTAGCTACATGTATCCATAGCAATACAATAAATATTTTTTCAATAATTTATTGATTGAAACATTTCAAACTACCTGAACAGTTAAAAAGTCATTTTCTAATACATTTTCAGGGACTGTATACTCGTAGTAAGTATTTGCGAATACTGGTCCATGGTCATTCTCATCAAGTACAATGACTGTAAATGTTGCCGTGGAACTTCTCGGTGAATCTGCTTGGTCTTGCGCTGTCACTACCAATTCATAAACACTCTGTTGCTCCCTGTCTAAAGCTACGATGGTTGAAATCACGCCCTCTTGTGGTGAGATGTTGAATTTATCTGAGGTTAGCGTGTACTCCACTTGAGAATTTACAGTGTTCGGTTCATCAAGATCATATGCCTTAACATTATAGGAAAGAAGTGTTGTTAAATATTTGACGACATTTAAGAAATCAGAGTCAGAACACATACTGGAGGAATTGTAGTGTTTTCTTAGTGACAAAGTCAATTTAATTACCGGTATTTAATTTTTGCCTTAATCAGTCACAAAATTAAACAAATTTTTATTTTAATTTAATGCTTGTATCATTATCATCATTATTATCACTTTTATTGCAAGATCCAAATGCAATGCTCTTGTCACATAATGCCAATTAAGCGCTTGTCAAATTTAATGCTCACATCATCACCCTGAATTTAACCTTTTCATCGCCATCACCAAATTTAGCACTGTCATTGTCATTTTGAATGCTTCCATAGCCATTTTTTTTAGATTTTCCAAACATAATCCTGTCAAAAAATCGCTTCTATTCTATATTTTCAATCAAAATAAATAATTCTACATCTGTTTGCTTCAAAATTCATCTCTTAATTTAGAAAAAAAAAAATTATTGAAAAGTTGAAAATATTTCAAATACAATTTTGATTGCAGAAAAATATGCAAAGTTTAAATATACCAACCTGCACCTGTCCCACAATACCAATTTGACCTTCCAATATACTGAAGACTGACGGCCATGTTGAGTTGAATATAGGATTGTTATCATTAATGTCCAGCACAGTGACAATGAGTTCTGTCGTTACAGTCTGAAAAATACAAACATATTGTGTATGAGATATACTTTGAAGTAATTCATTATTCAACATTCGAATTAGTTCAAATTTGGGAACTTTGAAACTAATATCCCATATTCTTGAGAACGAACTTCACAGCATTTTCAATGCCTATAGCAAACATAACCGGTGAAAAGAATAGTCGAAAACTCTCAGATTTTTTTTTTATACCTCTCCTGAGCATGTGCAATACATAAAAATTTGGTTGTTCATTATTGCCTTCAAAGCTAAGTTTGTACAGTTTTCTTTAGCTTGTTTTCACCGGCTAACTGACTAATGTTCTACAGCAGCTTGACAGAGCCCATAGAAATACATAGTACATCGGTGCACGTCTTAGCGACATTGAACATTCTGTGATGCAACTCAAATGCTGAAAATGCTGTTTGTAAGCGAGCATTAATAATAGAACAGAATACTTTCACCATGGAAATTAATGTATGCACAAAGCAAAAATGGGAAGCATGCCATTTGCTGCAACAGAGTTTCTGGGTCTAGATTTCTTAAAAAGATTTGATTTTGTGTAACCTAAAAACATTGAAAGAACGACAGAATCCTTCTTAACCGGGCAAAATGAATTGATTTTTGATACTCAGAAACAGAAACAGAATACACTTATCAGAAAGAATGTGAAGCTGTAAATATGAGATGGGCATTGCGCAGTGCGTGAAATACAACTTACTGAATATTAATTCTAAAATTACCTGATTAAGATCAGTTGCTGAGACCGTCAAAATATACAAAGACTGCCTCTCTCTGTTGAGACTAGTTGTAATTGATACTTCACCACTGTCATGAAAAAAATAAAAAGTTACAGAAAATGTTGCATCTATGGGGCTTAATTATTAGCTTTTCTGCTAAATGCACTAAAATGAAACATTTAACATTAGAATTACATCATGCAACACCAAATTTGCTAAAATTATTTAACCTAGTGATTTGTTATCTTTACAGTACTTTCTTTGCATCCAGTAATGGTGCAGACTGAAAACAAAAGATTACACTTTTTCACCCATAGAGGGCACTGTTAATTTACAAACTGAACACAAGTTTAAAATAGCAATAACTGTAACAAGTCTCTTGAAGGTGCCATTTATTGAAATCCATTTTTGTAAAGCAAACCTCAAAGATTATGGTACAAAATGACAACTTACTGGGGACCCTGGGAAAATGTTGATTACGTTGCCATTTTGAGAGGCTAGTTTAGCCTCTCTCTGACAGCCTCTCAATGGTGATTTTATGTGTTATATCCCATAATACTGTGCGACATGATTTTCTTCAGTCATCACCACATGACTGATTTCAACAAAATGGTGACTACTCGACCCTTAGTTTTCACATTGCATTTTATGTGATGTTAGCTATATGTATGGTCACTTTGACCATGCAATTGTGTCTAAAATGATATTCCGTCAAGATTTGGTCATTTTAATGTGGATATATTCAAACCACCCAAAAACTTTCAAAATCACAGCTATTGTCGCTTTAAGGGAACATCTCAAAATTATGCATATTCACCTGAATTCATTGATTGAAAACTCATTGTCTGGGTCACCTCCAGTGATATTATAATGCAGCGTATCACCGTCGGCATCTGTTGCCTGAATAAATTAAGAAACAAATAATAGAAACTCAATTAACTCTGGACTCTCCTAATACCATTTCCACCATTCAGAGCGTTGGTATACACAATATTATCAGAGTTTTATTCAGAGTAACATACCAAATCATTTGCACAGTGTTAGGTGATCAAAGGTATCCCTTGTACTAGAACACAAACACCAAACTGTTACTACTGTTAAATTTGTGATATTACATAGGCCAGTTTGTGACAAAATCCAGTAGATAATTGGTATCTTTTCAATAGCACAGTAATATTCTGTATTATTTATCATACAACTGTAAATATCAGCCTTTCTTGATCGGGAAAATAAAGCATGTAAGTATAATAGGATCTGAATTGAAAGATAGGGACTTACTGTAACGGTTTCAAAGACATTTCCTGGGAGAGCACTCTCACTAACAGATGCATGGAATGGATTCTCTGTAAACACAGGCTTCCTGGCATTCAGACTTGGTATAACATCCACAGTGACGAATGCAAGCGTGGATCTGAAAATAGAAACATTGACAAATCTGAAAGTGCTTTCTTTGAATATTACACAAGCATTGTAATCACACTGTACATTGCATATTAACAATTCTACCATATTTTTTTGATGATGTTGTTACCATAGCAATGCATGAAACCATTGCATTGAACAATTTGTCAAGCATCTTAGACGTCAATGCCCAAGATCTCATTTCAGCATTCAGCTTACTTGTTTGGCCTTAAATAGCGTTCCCAACATTGTGTCCTGTTCTTCTGTTCTACTGTAAAATTTCACCTACTCTAAAAATTCAATCACCTACCGATAATTATTTAGCTGATTTTAGTAAGTTTATTGGCTTCAAGAATTTTGTCAGATCACAGAATTGTGCTATAGTTAGTTTTGTCCACCTCGTATTTTTCTTTTTGAAACAAGGTTGAACTTTAATTTAGGCTTCAAGTAATGAAAACAAAAACCATTGAATATTACAAGGTGTCAGGAACAACAGGAGAATCAAAACATCTTGCAAACAACATACAAACAAAAACAAAATACATTTCTAAGTTACTAACAGTTATAGCTCGATACAAAAAAATTGTATTTGGTTTGCTATGAAATACGTAGCCTTTCAAGCATTATGTGAGATCTCACAATGAATAGAAAATCTTCTATTTGAAAGATTCCACCACATTTTTTTTAAAACAGAAAACATACATAACAAAACATACAAAGAATATAAATTGGATGGTAAAGGTGGATAAAACAAGAGGGCATATAATTTTGGTAATAGTGATAATGCCCTCATTGAAATCACGCACTCAACATAAATAAACACAACACTTCACAAACAGACGATGACAATTTTGTACTAAAAAAAAAAAATTAAAATAATAGGTTTTGAAGACTTAGTATGACAGTAGATGTAATTCCCAACTAGTATATTATCCAATACTTTTATTTTATATTTAATCTACATGCAAATCAATGGATCATTATGTGATGGCCATACACAAGTTTCCAGTATTATGAAAGCTGCATACCCGTTTTCATCCACCCTTACTATATACCTCGGTATATATATATTTAAATATTTACTTTTGATTGTTTTCTGGACCCCTGTCTTTTGCCATTACTGTTATGGTGTATTCTTTCCTGGCTTCCAGTTCTGACTTTGCTAGTGTAATAACTGCAGTGGCATTGGTTTGATTGATATTAAACAAATCACTTGCACCATTGGCAATATGTGTAATGCTGAAATCAATTATACCATTGTCTCCCAGGTCTTCATCACTTGCCGTCAGCTATAGAAAATATCAAAATGTGCATTGGTAAATCAGATTATTGTTAGTTTACAATCCAGCGCCCTCATGCCATAGCCATGCGCTCCTTTACCCTGGGGAGCAGATCCTCTGGCAACCATAAAATTCTGATTGACCAGGGATCACATGTGGCCAGTCTTTTGGCCCCAAGGAAGCCAGAGAATGCTCTATTTCAACTTAGAATTATTAAAAATTCCACACCCTGGTAGGGAGTACCCTATCTCCCCCACTTGGTGGCGCCGCTGAATTGCAGTGCTCCCTCTTGCAGTTTTTTTTCTAGAAAAACCCCTGCTAGTATTATAAGTGAAATAAAGCTATTGAATATTATTATTATGGTTCAACATTCTGCACATTTTTCTATGATTCTTTTGTTAATTTTAGACTAAATAGACATTCTTTTCCATTACGTTAATCCATTATGTACTTTTATTTTGTGACAAAAGTTTACCTTGGCATCCAAAGTATTTACTAATATGAGTTTACTATCAGGTTTAATGGGTTTTTGTTCTAATTTCTTGGACTGTGCTCACAATGTGAATATTTTACAATAAACTGTTTCCCTGAAGTTAAGACAAATCATGGAATATTTAAAAATAAATTTTAAATGACAAAACCATATTTTGGTAATGAATAATTTTAATATAATATCGATGTACATGATTTTTTTGTGCAATATTCAATAATCATAATAACTTTATTACACTACTATGACATTAGAGGGTGCAGTATGGTAAATAAAATAAAATAAAATAATAAAATACATCATAAAAATACATCAGCTAAATAAACTATGATAAGATAAAAATAAAATTAAGAGATGCTAAAAGCTTAATAGGAAAAATTTGAATGTTAATTACAGGATTCTCCCACTGTAGAGATGATAGTTTTCATATACCTGATTTCTGTTTTACTTTATTTAGAAACATTGCTAGGGGTATGAAGCACAGTTCCCCTCTTTCTTTATCGAAAAATTCACAATCTAGGATAAAATGTTGTTCGTCCTCAACTGAATTTGTATGACATTTTTCACAAAATCGCTCTTCCGCAGGAATTTTTTGGTCCTTGTTGTCTGCCTCTTTCAATTTCTAAATTGTGATCACTAAGCCGAAATTTACTCACAGTTCTCCGAAGGCTATAATAAACATTAGAACATGGCTAGCATATAAGTAATAATAATTGGCGTTCTATTATTTAGTCTGATACTTACACTTAGTATCACTGAACCAACTATGGCGTCTTCTTTCACCATTACTCTGTAGTTATTTCCGCCGGCAAATATGGGATAGTTATCATTTTCATCTAATAATGTCACGGTAATTGCAACTGGATCACTCTCCATCGTCTCCTCTGTGGTGGTTTCCATAGCAACAACCTGAAGATTGTGATCGAGTATAGAATGATGCTCAGTTTCAGACAATCGTTTTGGATATATACACAAAAGTGGCACAGAGCATTACAAACAATTATCTATGTTCGTTGACATGGGACTGAATATTCCATTCTGCACATATTCCATCCACAGGGCAATTGAAATTGTTTTGACCGATCACAAAATGAGAGAAAAAAACAAAATGTGCATAGTGAATACTTTATGAAGAACACTAACTGAAAAAGCCTAAATGGAACACTATAGAGTTCTAGAAATGTATAATTTTGAGAATGTCTTGCAATTTGTGAAACTTCATATTGAGATCTCCTGAAGAATCACCCAACTGTAAACCCTTAACTTATACATCCTTGATATGGTATTTCATATTTCTGTCAACTTTGTACTCACCCAGAAAAAGAAACTGGTGTTCATTTCTCTGTCCAGTTCACCACTGACCACCACATATAAAGTATCACCAATTTTACTTGGACTGAACCACCCATCAGCACCTATGAATTTGTACTCTAATTGCGGACTAACACCCTGGTAAAAAGGAAAAAAAACATAAAATAAGTTCAAATGAATCCACAGATCTTGTAGTCTTATCATAATATTCTGAAAAGTGTCAAATTTTTCTGGTTTTTAAATAAATAATAATCACGAAATCATGTGCTTTGAAAAAAAAAATTGCTGAAACTACAAAAAAATATCTACAAGTTCAACAAACCTCCTCCTGATGGTGGTAGTGGTGCAGAAAATGTCACGATTGAAGATGATAATGTGGAGATGGAGAGGATGGTAGCCATAGAAACAGATGAAGATGAAGCGTGATAATCATTATGGAAAGATGGAAAAAAAATGGAATAAATAAAGTTCATGGTTCAGCACTAAGTTTATAAAGCAGCAAAAAATGCAAGCAAGAAGTTCAGATTTAATTCAGCTGTTTGAAATGCAACTTTGCGCAAATATATTTTTGTCTTGGAGCAAAGTTATATTTTTAAAATAGTTTGGAATTCTTGGTCAAAATTGAAAAAAAAAATTATGCCCACAATGTTACTGAGTATTTAGTGGTGCTACAACTTTGACTCCAAAAAACATATTTTTTCTTCTGCATGTTGTATAAATCAACTAAAATAAGAAATGACCTGGATCTTAAATGTCACCTTGAAAGAAAATCTTAGTAATGTCAAAAAAAAAAATAAGAAGAATATTTTAATTTGACCTCTCACCTCATCTATATCCAGATCCACAGCTATAATCTGCAAAGGTGATGTCCCAGTTGCTGTGGTAACCACCGTCGTGCTAACAGCAGAATTTTCTTTAACAAAACCACTATAGCTTGTTTCTAAGAATACCGGTTTGTTATCGTTCACATCATCAATGTAAATGTCAACATTAGCAGTTTGATATCTTGCCGTGTTGGTACCTTCCTGTGCCTGTGAAAACAAGATTTGATGACATTTGTGAATCAGCCGTTTTAAAATTAAAAGTTGTTTTATACTTGATATCAGGTCATGAAAATATACATTAAAGTATTTACATGAAAATTTTGAAATCCTGCTTACTTTTCATTGTTAATTTTACACAATTTCATCACAGCATTGGTTATTTTTGTTTCTACTCATGATTTCTCACAAGTAATAGTCATGTTACTGTGTTCATCAAAAATAAGTTTTAATTGTTCGTGTTACTATCATCATCGAACATCTATTAAAAATAGTCCTGAACTGAAATCATTAACTAAAGTTTACCCAATTTTTTAACAGTGTGTATGAGCAATGTAGAAAAAATAACAGAAAAAATAACGGTGACTTACCTTAATTGTTAGGCTGAAGAATTGGAAGAGCCCTCTATCTACTGGTGTTTTTAGTGTAATATTTCCAGTATGTGGATGAATTTCGAAATAGTCTATATATTCTGGAGGAGAACCTAAAACAAAACAAACATATTCAGTTTAAACATAATATCAAGTTTTTTCGAGGATACCTCAAAGTATGCATGAAGACAGCGGGAGTATCGACCGACTCGCAGTGGAGGTCGATGCGATAGTGTACTGTCTGAGTGGTAATGCCAAAATGTTTACAACAGCGAACTTCTTTGTGTGGAATCCGGTCAAACCCTGGTGGCAGCCATGTTTGTTTTCATTATTAGAGGACGCTTATGCGCGTAATCATTCCATATTTGGAATTCGCAATTCCTTATATAATAGGATGAAAATACCCTGTAAATTACCGGAAAATTATTACACATTATACTTTACCTTGTAAAAATGAGTAGATAATTTCTGTTGAAATGTTTACGTCTTGATCAATGGCAAAGATGGGACCAGGACTGAACTCAAAAAACCCTGTGATATTCTGAAAGAAAATAATAGTTATGTAATAGCACCCTCTAGAGTTTTTACAAATAGTTGATTTTGTTTTTATTGTTTTGATTTGTCCCAGTACGTTGCTTTACCTGTTTTTCTTGTATATGAGTTGTGTAAGTTTGCATCGCACACACATTGTCAACTCTAATACAAGGTAGAAACTGGGGTCCCTGATCATCTCCATCTTGTACTGTCACCGTTAATATAGTGGTTGTACTCTTTGGATCCACTTGATCACGGTCCTTCAAAAGAAAGCACAACATAGATGAATACACCATTAGTTAGGCTATTTTACTAATTATTGATTTGATTTTTTTTTAAATTATCATGAAATATTTAAAACAATCAACATCACAAAATAATAAAAAACAAGCCATGCATGGCACAGTCCCCATTAGTTATCAAATTTAAGACATACAGTTTTGTTTATAGTAATATAGCTGGAATATAACCATGTCAGAAATATGATTTTTTAACATTGAAATGATATTGCTCTGGAACAGCATTCAAAATCAGCCATTTTGAATACATGTATATATATATAACATGATGTATAATGAATATATAACATTTGAATATAATCAGTCAAAGCATTTAAGAGATATGGCTCTAGAAGCCCAATCATTAAAACAAAATGGCCGCCAGTCAGCCATTTTGAATCCAATCTGAAAAATAAAATGACGTGCATCAGGAACCCGTAATGTCTAATGCATGTACCAAGTTTGAACGAAATCAATCCATAAATGCCAGAAATGCTTGATATTTGATGATTTTTTAGCACAAAAATGACCACCATTCGGCCATTTTGAATAGGATCCTCAAACCAATATATCTGTCTATCTATGACATGATGTATAATGAATATTTAAAATGTGAACATATTCAGTGAAAGCAAGTCAGAGATATGGCACGAGAACCACATTCATTAATACAAAATGCCCGCCAGTTGGCCATTTTGAATCTCATCTGAAAAACAAAATTATTTGCATCAAGGTCCCATAATGTCTAATGTATATAACAAGTTTGAACAAAATCCATCTGTAAATAACCGAGAAATGGTTGATTTTTAGGATATTTTAGCACAAAAATGGCCGCCATTCGGCCATCTTGAATCAGATCGTGAAACAAAATAATGTGCATCAAGGTCCTATAATGTCTAATGTATAACCAAGTTTGAACAAAATCCATTTGTAAACAGCAGAGAGATGCTTGATTTTGATGATTTTTAGCACAAAAATGGCCGCCATTTAGCCATCTTGAATCAGATCGTGAAACAAATTGACGTGCATATGTATAATATCATGTATAATGAATGTGTGAAGTTTGTATGTTTGGAGGTCAAAACATAAGTCCCCGTTTTCGAACTATGTCCGAACGGGGACTAATTCTAAATTGGAGTTATTTCTGTTTTGTGTGAAATAGAATGTTTTCTGTAAATAGTTCAAGGATTTTCTACACCACAGTAATGCTATCAAATCTATATACAAACTTATATAGAACCCAACCTATAGCCAGCAATAATCATGATAGGGGGAAAATATCAACCTGTGATACTGTAGAATACTTTATTTTCGCTTGGAATTTATTTTCGCTATTTTCACTGAAGGAATGATTCCGTGAAAATAAAATCCAGCGAATATGCTTTTTTTCCTATATTTCACATTAAACTCATCAAAAATCAGTGAAAATAAATTCCATACAAAACGCCCAAAAAGCCTTTTCAGTGAAAATTAATTCCAGCGAAAATAAAGTATTCCACAGTAGTACCCTCTACAGGTATATATAAATATTCTTTTGTTTTTATTATTCATATTACTGAAATTCATGATTTTGAATTTAAAATGATTATTTGCATTTCAATAGTGCCTCATAAGATCCATGTTCTAACTTGTAGAAAGCTTGAATAGAATTAGATTCTGAATACTAAATACTAAACAAGTCATTGTCAATGACACGTCCCCGTTCCGTTCATATTTGAGTGACATATATATTCAAAGCAGATCATGATCGAAATCTCAGACCACTTTCAGTGGTCTGATCTGAAATGCACCTGCATATGTACAACACATTGTAGTAAATCTGAACAAAATCCATCCATGCATGACTGAGATCCGGTTCTGGAATTGTGAAAATACGTGATTTTGATGCATTTTCGGCCTTAAAATGGCCATCATTCAGCTGTTGTTAAGCGGATCATGAAACAAATGCACATATCTATTTGTGACATGATGTACCATGTGTGTGTGAAGTTTGAACTTGATCAATCCAGACATTCTCTGATACGGATCCAGAACTGAATTCTTTAAGACAAAATGGCCGCCAGTCGGCCATTTCGAACTTGATCCGAAAAAAAAAAATGTGCATCAAAGTCCTATTATGTTTAATGTATGTACAAAATTTGAACAAAATCCGTCCATGCATAACTGAGATCCGGGTCCGGAATGATGAAAATGTGCGATTTTGATGCATTTTCGGCCTTAAAATGGCCGCTATTCGGCTATCGATAATCGGATCATGAAAAAAATGCATGTGCATATGTCCCATATAATGTGTGATGTATAAGTGAAGTTTGAACTTAATCGGTCCATGCATGTTCGAGATACAGGTGATCACGGACGCACGGACGCACACAGGGCAAACCATAAGTCCCCGTTTTCGGACTACGTCCGAACGGGGACTAAAAATACTAGAGACTACAACATTTATTACTGAAAAGTGATAGCGCCCCCTACATATATATTTTGTTTCATTTGTTTTTATTTTATATACACAGTAATCAATCGATTCTTAGTATTCATAAGTTACATCTCGCCAGCTTTCTCATCAAATCTAGATGTGACGTATGATGTATAGAACAAAACAGATTTGCAAGATCTATGTTTTTATATAAAGATGTTACATACCTTTGCCTCAACGAGAATTCTCCATTCTTTTTTTGACTCGTAGTCTAGCGTCTTGGTTAGTTTTATGTCTCCAATAGAGGGCAGACTGATACTAAATGATTCATTTGACTCCTGAAATAAAAAACAAAAATATCTTTGAAGTTTCCAGTTTTCAGCTTTTTTTTATATATTTTATTTTTCCTACTTTCCTTATCCAAATCAGATGATCATTATCACAATAATTCACCAACTGTACCAACTACATGTAGGTAATGAGAGGACAGTTGCCATGGAAACATGGATTTTAAAATTTTCACTACTTTAGCTCAAAATTTGGGGTCTAAGGTTAAATTTCAGAATGATTCTGGATTGAAAACAAAAATATAACAAAGGAATGTCATAAAATATGCATCCAATAATTAAATTCAAATCATTCAGGTTTTCTGCATCTTAACCATCATCACTCTTTGAATGCCATATTTTTTTGTTGCCAGCAAAAGTTTTGTTTGTACTTTTACATAGTTTAATCGTTATTTTCGGAGCAAATGAACGTAATTTACTATTGACCACAGGTATTGCCCAAAACATTTGAAAAATGGTTTTATTTTAGAAAGGTGAAGAAAGTTGACATTGGTGCTCAAAAAGTTAAAATTAGATACTTCCATGTATGGCATGTAGTTTGACTAAATTTGTTGCACAGAGGGAATAGTTAAAGCACTACATACAAACAATATATAACACACATCACATGGACTCAAATCGAACATGATGCGGTGTAACCATGGTAGCGCTTTAAACATTATTATCTGGTGTTTTGATATATCCTTGTAAGCATACTGTGGCTTAACGACTGGGCTGTATTATCAGGTGTCACCGAGCAGGTTCAATTTGTAGACTTACGGATAACGCAACGTCTCATAGTTTATAAACTCATCGAACACCGTTTATTCTCAACGGGATAAAGTTTGGGACAATAGAAGAAACTACAAACTTGAGCTCATGACAAACTACAAAACAAGATGGCAACAGCACAGTAATAAAGTTGGCGCCCTAAACTGATAGGCAGCCTCTGGTACCGGTCTCTGATTGGTCAGGGAAAATATTTAGAAGTCATATTCATTGGTAATATTTAGAGTTCTCGCTGCATCTAGCGACATACATTTAAGTCATGAAAGGACTTTATAATTGTCAAATAATTTTTCTTTAATAATTTTGAATCAAATAGTAATAATTTAACAGGTTTTCAGTTATGGGTTTAAAATAAGTATTCCACAAATCATACAGGTTTTATTTTTTGAATGATGATGATAGTTCTAAACTTTAAACAAGTTCAAAATAGAATGAGGTTGGAATCTATTACCGGGTCATCAGGATTTGGTCTGATATAATAACTGACAGCTCCACCACTATCTGGATCCTCTGCTGAAACTCTGAAGATGATTGTCCCAACGTCTTCCAGCTGTAAATAGAATAAACATTAGAAAATCAGGCCCTGCAACATGTATAGTTGTATATACCGTAAGTGTATAAAAGCAATATAGATCATGTTTTCAAGTTCTATAAGGACCATGTGATTAAATTGTGCACGCAAGCTTTTTACTGTGTGCAACAACCAGCTAGGAAATGTACACAACAAATACAGAGATGCCATGCTCAGTTTCCATGGAAACAAGAATAGAGTTCCTGTCTTAATTACCATAAAAACAAGCATTGAGACAAACCATCATAATTTCCATGGAAACAAGCATTTAGACTGCCCATCTTAGTTTTCATGAAACAACCACAGTTTTTGCATCTTCAGCGTTTGATTTAATAAATGGATGTTCTTACCTCGCTAACTGCTGTATGATATGGTAGCTCACCCACAAAATAAGGATAATTATCGTTGACGTCCTCAACATGAAAATTAATAATATAATCCACTTGAAAACCAAGCTATAAATTAATAACAAGTAAACTGATTAATTACCATAATTGTTATGATGTGATTGAGTGCAATTTTGACAGTCACAAATAATTTAAACTCAAACAGAATTTCATATGGTTCAATTTTTTGTTGTTACCGGTACTACATGTACAAGAATTAATAAAATGTGTGTATGGAAGCATTTTGTATGAAATGAAGATCTCAGATTAGTTTTTAATTCAGACTGTTTTTGGTAGTATCGCAAAGCCTGTAATACATGCAATTTTCTTTTTTGAATGCAGCAATAATCTGGCTCATTTATGTTCACGATAAAAAAAAAATTCCCAGCACTGCATTCTGTGTTGATTAGAACTATGTTCGATTAAAACACACAGAATGGGATCACTTACAAACGTTCACAAATCACACAAGTACGCTTCTCATGAAATCTTCTTCATATATAGTTATGAAAGTTGCATATTCTTATCCTGTAAGTTTTTTCCGTCAGCTAGTAAAATACATGTCAATTTTATTCTGAATTTCAACTAGCATACAATAAATATAGTACTCACGATTCGATCTGTGCAAGTAAGTTTACATGAAATGGATTTTATTCCAACTGGCTCCTATAAAAAAACGCAAAAGATTTTAAATTTGTCAAATACTGATAGATGCCATATTTTTTTAACTTATCACATGCAGCAGAAGATTGCATGTGACTTGCAGAAACCAATCACCTTCTTTAACAATGAATGGTTTCAATTACATTAATAGATGAGCACGCCCAGTATCTATTCTATGAAAGACAAGTCATGATATGATACAATCCAGTTCACTTTTCAGTGTAAAATCATATCAGAGTGAAATAGTGTATATGTCCCATACTAGTAATAAATAAAGCATTTGTTAAAACAAAATGGCTACCATTCAACCATTTTGAAATCTGATCTGCAAAGTGAAGTGATGTATAACAAAGTCTCATTATGTTCAACGTATGTTCACAGTTTGAAAAAAATCCATCCATGCACGACCAAGATCTGGTTTCAGAATGAGAATAATGCTTGATATTAAATATTTTTTGTATGTAAAATAGCTGTCATTCAGCCATCTTAAAACTAATTGATGAAACAAATTTACCTGCATACATGTATGTATCATTTATGTGTGAAGTTTATACGTGATCAAACCAAGTATGCCTGAGATACAGGTGTAGACAGACACACACACAGATACAAAACTAATAGCCCCCATTTACAGACTTCATTCAAACAATGACTAAAAGTAGACACTTTCATTACTAAAATCGTGAGCACATTTTCTAAAAGCTGGTTACAAGTTTACTAGATATCCTTAACTGTAGCCCTTCAGAGATGTCTTGTAATTGATACCAAGATATTAACACAAATTGAAACTTAGTTGTGCTTTATCAGTAAAATAAACCTACAATAAATCTGCATATTCCTGAACATATAGCAGCCTTCTTTTCTTTCGAGACCAACAAATATACTGTGGGGATAGCCACAATCTATTTAGGAACGTCTACGGTTGACTCAGGCAAATCACTCAGTCACGAGCATTAGTTAACCATTTTATTCCGAACACCAAGGGATAACAAGATGGTGGCACAACCAGAAAAGGTGACAGATTGCAACAATAACAAATTTGAGCGGTAAACCATGCGATTGGCTGAAAGCTACATAAACTAAAACATGTATGGATTCCAACGATATATACCTAGTAGCCCAGGTGTTTGCATAAGTGTTGAGCAAAATATTGAAACTCAGTAATTTTATTTACCAAATGAGATAAACATAAGCAGTAAATGGTGAGCCAAATTGTTTCCTGAAACAGATTAAGGGTTGGCCATTTGAAAAATAAAGAGGAATGTTTTCACGGACACATATATTCAGAACTTTTTTGTTTTCCCACATTTTAAAAAATTCACTCACTTATGAATATAAATTGAGTCTTCTAGCCACCTTCATTTTGTCAAAAGTGTGGGACCTACTGTAAAATACTTTATTTTAGCTGGAATTAATTCTCGCTGAAAAGACTTTTTGGGTGTTTTGTATGGAATTTATTTTCACTGATTGTTGATTAGTGGAAAGTGAAATATAGGAAAAAAGGTATATTCGGTGAATTTTATTTTCACTGACTCATCCCTTCAGTGAAAATTAATTCCCAGCGAAAATAAAGTATTTTACAGTAGTCTGTTTCAAGGGCAAATTTTGCTCCCCTTTTACAACAAGGATTTCTGATGACTTTTTCACCAAATTTTGCGCGCACCCCCCCCCCCTGCCTATTAACTACTGGAGTTAAATAAAAATACTCACATCTCTATCCAATGCTTTTGTTAAGTTAATTGCCTGCATCTCTTCATCTAAAACTACATACTCAGTACATGGAACATCTGAACCATCCATTGTACCTAAATGTAATATTGTTGAGTTGGAACCGCCAGCAGTCCCTTCGGAATTTAAATAAGCTATTGTTTCTCCTGAAACAAAAGAAATTAGTACATTATGTATATGACATTTATCATACAGACTTATGTGCAATATCATCTTCAAAAACACTAAATTATTCATTAAACTAGAAAAGTGTCAGATTGGTGTACTTAAAGTCTCACTGCTGTTTTCGCGCATGGTTGCACCAAATATGGTTTTTAGTTTGAATTGAAGCCTACTTTACGATGTTTGCAATGGTGTTAAAACTATGTTCCTCCGAAGTACTCAGTGCATGCAGTAGACGACGGAAACTTTGTTTTTGTTTTTTGTGGCATGACTTCCGGGTACATCTTTCGCTATTATCCAGGCGTCGCAGTTTTGAGATGGCAGTTTTATTGGGTTTCATATATCCTCTTCAATCATGACTTCTTCAATTTCATTTACATCAGCTGAATTGAAACAATCATTGACTTCGCGAACTCGTACACAACTTTCCAGTGACACCATTTTAAACAACTACCCTTGACCCGGCGGTTTCCCGAAGTACGTTTGTAATATGTTAATTTGTCTTATATGTAGATAATTTTGTTGTTTGCTGCTAGATTAACAAGCAAACGTTATAATTACTGAGTAAACGGCTGAAATGATCATGGAACCTTTGGTCTTAAACCAGTTGTAACTCCTTCTGTTTATACCTTCAAGATCATAGCAATCAAGGCTTCTTATGACAGACTACATAGACTACAGAGTTCCGTAGCAGAATTAAGTTTCAGTGGCGAGAGTGTTACACAACAGTATTGCGATGTCATTGGTCATTTATGAATATGTAAATATAATTCTCACCAGTGATCCAATTACAATTGAGGACAGTGATGTCACAGATTAATATTCAAATCATATGCAAATTTCTTACCTACTGAAGTATCTTCATCGACGGATAAAAAATTATCTGAATATGAAAAACAATCCGACTCTGTAAATGTAAACGAATTGAGAAAATTTAATTAACAGAATATGCAAATTTCTATAAGTCATGCCTTCTAGTGACCGAGCACTTCTGTGATGTTGAAATGACGAATGAAAGCAAATTCAAATCAACTCTATATAGCCATTCAACATCTAGAGTTTAGCAAAATCTCACAACAGACAGATCAAAACGATACTGATGCTTTGGGTGGCCTTTGTGTCACCGTGCAATTTATATCAAAGAAGCGCTTTGTTGCTAGAGGGTTTGACTTGTGTTAAAGGTATAGATGCATTAACAATATATGATGAAAACAGCTTGTACACTCATAATGGGCAAAAAAGAACAAGTGTCTAAGAAAATTATAAACTTGTTCCGACACTCAATCTCAATAAATGTATTTGTATCTGGTTCCGTTGCACATCTTTTCAAATTAATAAATGTTTGTTGTTTTGTAGTTAATTTTAACTGTATTTAAAATTTATGTTTGTCACAATTCCAGTTCTGCAAATGCGACATCATGGAAAGGACTATAATTCATGGCAGTCATACTCAGGGAATGCATGCACAATTATATATGTTGATCGACTCAAACATTAATACATTGTCATTTGTAATTAGCACACCTCTAAATACAAGCAGAATATCTAATAACCAAAGCAGCGTATACCAAACCCACGCTACCGCTATAATAAATTATAAATAACACACAGGTGGCAAAATAATAATAATCATTGTAAAATATAAGTGTAGAAATGCACACACTAGTCTGTGATGCAGAGAAGTCTGTAGCACATGGAAATGTAGTACAGGGTGATTACATCGTATTTGCTCTATCCAAAGTTGAGTTAAATGTGGCTGTCCACAAATGGTCTTTGGTTAAGAGTTCGCTGATCTTTAAAATTGACGAACGGAAAATGCAAGTCGTTCAATTTAAAGAGGAGAGGATATAAGTTAACTTCATTTTGCATGCAAGCAAAATATTAATAAAAAAAGCATATGAAAGTGGAAATCTACACAATTGTGTATAAAAATGTCAACTGATACAGGTTTGTAAATTATTCAAAATATTGCATTAAGAAACTTTCACTTTTGGAGTAGGGAGGGTCCGTATCAGTTATGAATGTGATATATTTTTACAATGCGTCAATTTTAAAGATCACCAGCCTCTACAAGTATCATCAGATCAACACATTGTTAGCCAATTGAATGCTGTACTGTCAACTGCAATATACCAATAAAGCAAATACGATACTTCTACCCTCTAGTAGTATAAATGATTTCAGTTGCAATCATTTTTGCCCTGTATACCGACCATTTCTTACAAATCACATATGACGTAAATCGTCTACCAACTCACTTCTACATCACTGTCATCAAGTCATAATAAATTGTAAACAAACAAACAAACGAATATAGTGATGTGCATCAATTATAAAAAAAAAAAAAAAAACATAAAAAAATAAAAATACACTAATACTAAAGCCAACCCACTAAGCTCCCAATTTATTTATTTTTTTCTTTTGATGTTAAGTATGACGAGGAATCAATTTTCTACTTCTTAAATTTGCTAAACAATAATTCACCCAATCATTATACCCAGGTATCCCACAAAATTCTAAATATAATGATAAAACCACATGCAGTATATAAAAAAATATTCAATAAAAATAAAACATAATAAATTGTAATTTGTTTTTTTCTGATCACTCTTACCTAAGAGTACATTCGCTGTTAAATATTAAGAACAAATATTTGGAAGAAACAAAAAACGATAAAGTTAGGTGGTCAGTTGGTGATGCATGCTGGGTAATTGATAAGGGGAAGTGTTGTTAAGAGGATATTGGTGGACAGTAATGCTTCGTAAAATCTAAGACACAAAAGAATACAGGAACAGGCAACTGCTTATTGAGAAAGTGAAATTAATAAGGAAAACAATGTATTTTTTAAATACATTTATAATAAAATTGCATATGATGGTAATATCAAGATGTTAAAGTAGTTATATAGGTGCCACCATCTTGTGATATTTCTAGCCTTGGATCTAAATTTTTGAAGTAAATTTCATTATTAAGCAAGCCACTACACTGTATTTTCAAGATGCAAAGCTTTTATTTTGTTTTTAACTTTACAGTATTGTCACTGGAAAATGTAAGCATTCTTATATATATATATATATATATATATTAGTATGACCACCTGTTTCAGTTGCTTACGTATTTTTTAAACGGAAATTAAAACATCAATAACCATCAAATTATTTACGATGTTAAGAGTAATCGTCACATTATTTACGATCTTACGCAACTGTAACAATTACGTCACAAAATACTGTATTGTTCTGCTCCGCAGCTGATTTAATATTAATAGTGATCGTACAACTTAAGTACATTAGCCTTATAGTGTTACCATGGCAAAGGTGTTTTTCAATATTTTCAAATCTTACACCTCTAAATTATGTAACTTTACACAATGCACCTTCTTTTAATAATTTACATTTTTATATTAATTCATATAAAAACTTAAATTAACAAAGAAATTATAGAAAATACAAACAAATAGCAAATTATGGCACTAAAATTGAGTTAACAGGACATATATCGGCGGTGCCTTGCAAACACCTAAAAATAGATATATTTATTGTTATCATTATTTCATAGATTCTTGTTTATAAAATTTGTTCAAGAATTTTGAGTCTGGATTAAATAATTTGAAACTTGAAAAGTAATAACCACAAAATGTGATGATGATAATGCTGTATGTAGATCTAATAGTTGAAATGCGCCCTCTATTGATTAGAACAAGAAATAACAGGATTGAAAGTTTAGTTTTAAAATTTGTTTAATTATTCTCAAATTAAAAAATCTTCAGAAAAAATTAGTTGTGAAATGTTCTCCAGCTTTAATATCTTTTTGTAATATTTTTTTTACTCTAAACATAACATAGGATAGTTAATAGTAACCTTTTTTGCTTGAAATTTATTATAATGCTACATTCTGTTGTTAAAAAATTAATTAATCTGTCAAAAGTACTAGGAATTTAATGCAAATATATCAATACTATACCCCAGACATGATTAACTATACCGGTAACTTAATATATATTAATACCATAGTAATTTCCCCATATTGTTCATGTCATGTACAAAATTATATTACACCCCATCTGTTGCCATCTCCATGGCAACAAAAATATTACCACTGACAGTTGTCAAGACAGATCCAACTGTCACTGCTACAAAAATATACATGCTCCATCACATTTTCAAAATGGCTTCCATAATTATTAATTCAAAATGGCCGTAATTTCTGAATCAAATCCTACACCAATTTCAAAGCAATGCAAATAAATACACGTAAATAACAGTCCTAAAACAGCTATTTTTTTTTAAATACTCTGGTGGTGCAGCCATGAGAGTGGTATTTGCACGATCATTTAGTTTTCATAATGAGTCATATAATTCATGAACCACACCCACATGCAACCTACCTTCGATTTGCAGAAGGAATAAAGTGCATCTCCATGATACATGATGACATATAGCTTTGCGAATTGATATATCATCTCAAAGCACAGATTGATTACAAGAATTGAAGTTTATATTCACAAAACTACATTATGAGTTCTATATATTTATATTAAAGATAGCCTTCCTAATGGTTAACAAAAATGATGTTTTCAAGCTAAAATTTTGTTGCATATATTTTCTGAATTCATTGTAAATTATGGATCAAACGAAAACAATTCCTCATTGCCTAGATGTGAAAAAGTGAAAAATGCCTTTTGCAAGTTTCATTTTCAGTGATATCCAATAATATCTCATTCCATAAAGCATAGCAATAGTTCAAACTAGAACAGCACACATATTAAAATAATCATCATTTTGCGACAAATCATCAAAATAGACATACTGGTAATTTTTCTCACTAGGGGTCTTTTGCAAATAATATTAAAAGAATCGGCATTCAAGTAGTACATGTTTCCATAATGGTTCTATAAATAGATTTTTACAGGAATCCTGTCTCACTGCCATCATCAATATATTTCATTTTATATCTGATTAATATTTGATTAGGACATTATATCGTAGATTTCTTGATCTACAGCAGAAATGGAAATTGAAATTTACTAAAGAATTCTTTCAATTTTGTTGAAATGTATCATAGAAAAGTAAAAAATATTTTATACGAAAAATAGGTAACACTATGATACCATATTTAAACTCATATTTGCTGTTGACATAGGATTTAAGTAAAGTAAGCAAATAACGCGGAATAAACGGCAAGGTAAATACTACGTCAAATTATAGTAAATATGTACTGCGTGCGTGACTCGAACCAGCACTCGTGTACGGCACCTAATCGCCTAGCTTCACGCCACTACACGTCTTCCCCAGTGATACCGTATTTGCTCTATTAGAAGTACCTGTGTTTATGTTATTAAAAGTACATCTCAACCTCAATTCAGCAAATGATGTGTCAAAATTTGATTTACTAACATACTCATTTTACATATTATTTAAGTGTATGTGTTACTAATAGAGCAAATATGATATGTAAACATTTTTGTTGTGCTTATGTTGTGCTATTAGAACTACCCATTGTGTATGATATAAAACCAAGTATCATCCTGGAAGCGAACTAAATTACGTCAATTTTTTTTTTTCAAAGTTTTGGCAATATTTGGATTTGTATAATAATATACAACTTTTTAACTTCATGACACCAAGCAAATTTTGTGATAGTAAGAAATAATTTCATCATCGAAAGCAGGGAAACATGTAAATTGTGACCATTTTTTGACTTTTGCATCTCAGAATTTTTACTTTTTATTCTGATAGCAAGTCCCAATAATTTTGAATTAAGTCAGAACCTCCTTAATTTCCTGTCATTGGGGTTTGAAAAGTACATTCCACAACTAATACTTCATTCATTGAATATCAGTGTTTTGCCATTTTTAATTCATGGTCTGCCTACTTTGAGGGCAGGGTCACATGATTTGAATAAATA